GCATTGGTGATTGGTTGGGCATTGGCAGGATTGGAACCCGGAACCTCGGAGACCAAAGTTCCACACTTTACCACTAGACCAGTTCAATCCCTAATAATATTGATGATTACAGTTATTATAGTTCGACAAGTTTAGATAGCTCCTGTTTGCTATTCCCCACAAACGACCCCTCTGCCCAAAAACACCAGCCAAGTTAAGGTTGTTTTTAACACGGAATAAAATTTTGCGGACGACATTCTGTGACCCCTGTGACCATTTCTCGTCATGACTAAAAGGGGGTCTGGGGCCTCAGCGAGCCAAAGGCAAGTTTGGTGTTATAAGACCCATGAAAATTAAAGTCGTATTTACTATAAAGGAAGGGATTATTCAATTGCAGGGAAAATTTAATTATTCTAAGAAGTATATTCTTTTATATAATTTGTGGGCTTCGAGCCTTTAGGATCACTGCTTTATCACGTTGTTAAAATTCGTTGGTGATTGATGGGGTTTAACCTAACACTGCTGGACAGAAGTTCTGTGCTCAAATTACTAGAAAAAGCACACCTATCAAATGAGTTCACTGCACTAAGGGGTTTGAAATATAGAAACAATCTCTCAAACTACTCAATTTTAGATTCATTGGAAAACATTTTTATTTCTCTGGAAAATATAACTTTTGCTATTTAAGCTTTTGTAATTATTAGGTTTTGTATACATACCTAAAAAAGCTTCAAATATATGTACGAAACATAACCCACCGGCACCTGAGAAAATATTGTACGAATTAATGTTTTCACAAATTCTGATATTACATTATATTATCAATCAATACGATCTTGAAGAAATTCAATATTTTTCATAAAAATAATTAATGTTTAGTGAAAGTAATTTCAGCTTAGGGAGGTTTGTGAAAACATTTGAAATGTTAGAAATTCCAAAAAGCCTGATTCCCTCAGGATATCCGCATTAAAATAAGAGTTTTATGAGGAAAGTTTGCTTTAAAAACTCTGAACCTAATTTACATTTATATCTTGAGAATTTCCACTTTATAATTTCTCATTTCGTTACTTCCAAACATCTCCGAGGGGAACAATCGATAATCTTGTTAAGTGATTGAACGCGTTCTTTGCTGCTTACTGTTTAGGAAAGATGATTTTCTTACAAATTCTTGGTCTCTAAAATCCTTTCAGCAACAGAAACGGTTTCTTAAAACTATTTTTGTAGTAGTCTAGTTGAATCTGTTATTTTTTAATGATTTTGAATAGTGTTTTCCCCTTCCAAAAATATAGTAAGGTTTGATATTCCCATTAATAAAGTTTTTGTTTAGTGTGTTAAGGAATACTTTACTCTTTTGATTTGAAATCCTGCTTTAAAAAGCTAAGAGATGTATTAATGTTTATATTTTTGTATGAAATGTCTACACTAATCATAGAAAGTTAAAGTATAAAAAATTTGGTTTTGTAATCCAAAGCAAGTAGCTTATTCCTGCGTATTAGGTATAGAGAGTACTTAATACTCTTACAAATGTACAACATTTGAACACACACAGCTTCAAAACTTTGTGAAGATCAACTAGGTGTAGAAATACTCTCGTGACCTTAACTTTTGAGAATAACGCGATTGATCAAAGGTTTATTTATGTACCACCTTCACCTCCTAGGACTCTAGTTCTAGCTCGGGACTGTTATACATTCAGGTTAGTCCTAGAGGGGTTGCGGCATTGTCACATACATATTGGTGATTGGCGGGATTCAAACCCGCAACCTCTGGCTCTGAGGCTCCGTGGTCTACCACTAGACCCACTCGCTCCCCCGATGAATCAAAAGAGTATTACAGTTTTAGAATCAAACAATTGTCTCCATAATTTTCACAATTTTGTCGATTTAGTAGATTTTTTCTCCAAAAAGACGTGTCGTGATAAAAATAACAGTTAAATGACACTAGATTTAAACAGGTTTAAAGCAAGCCTTCATTTCACAAAGTTGCATCTCAATTTATAACATTAATATTTTCTTAAATAAACTAACTTACGAAAAAGTATAAACATTTTTTTCTCAAAACAAATAAAAGCCCAGCAGCCAGATAGCAGCTAATTAACAAACAATATTTACTGGCGACAAAACCGAGTTAGTTAGTAAGTTTGGCGTCAACCCAAGTTATACATGGTTGGGTTTCCTCGAATGAGACCACTTTGTTGATGAAAGCGGAGATGGAGTTGGGTTGGAATCAACCCTACTTAGGAGCCGAGCTTGGTTACGTCTCTGTTATGATTTGTTTATTTCAGCTTCCACGTTACTTAGGTAGATTGAATGTGGTAAAAGCATAGGTTTCCTGTCATTTTCGAGTTAAAATTAAATTAATATTTTCAAAAACAAAAACGATTAACTTTATAATAAACAACTTAAAGATCTTCTGGGTAAACTGTATCAAAATAATTTTATGTTTGTGCACATTAGTCAGTTAAGATGGATCGCTTTTTGGTTTTCCATCACATGACTTGTTACCATAGTTAAAGCATATGACAATGTAATTTTGTTTTTCATAATACTGCAGCAAAAACAGCCGTTTTTAATGCATGCGTTGCGGGTCTAAAGTAGGATTTATACTCTCTAGGGAGTAAAATTGTTTTAGCCCCTAGGGAGTAAAAATCAGCTGTTGTACATCTCAGTTGTACATTTCGATTATAAACCAAATTTTATGTTTCGAAAGTATCTATTGATTGCAGTTAATTGTTGCTTTATTGTAAATAGTTCAACATCGATACAATAGTAAATAGTATACTAACACAATCGTAATAGATGAGTCGATTAAATCACTTACTTGCTACAGCTGCTTTTTCCCTTAGTAAATTAAAAATGTTCAAGAAGTTTGAAGTAGTTGTGAGAGGTTATCTTTAAATTTTTTGGAAGTAAGTATTTTATATCTAAGTATATTCTATTTAAGTAAATATTCTATATCAAAACTGGAAGATTATAGTTTTAACTATTTGATAATATGAACCACGTAGTTTTACAATGACGTAAATACTTTTTTATAAATGACCTAAACTTCCCCGGTAGTCTAAGCCCCTTGTCTAAAATAACAACAAAACCTACCGCTGCTGGTAAGTTATTTTCTAATGGTAACCACTTTGTGGTGTTTCTTGTGGTCAATAATAAGGCATTACACATAGCTGTGGATCTGATGGGTCACAGAGTTTCCTAGTAAAAGGCCAACGGTTTAAAGGAATTTTTCTGATCCTAAACTGAGCCAAGCTAATGGCTTTGGTTCAAGAAACAGCTGATTTGAGACAATCACAAAACTGAAAACTGTTTCTTAGTTCATTCTACAATAACACCTCCGTCCGTTCTTGGGGTTAAAATGCACCCGGTGGCGTTGTATCTTGATTGTTAAGAAATAATAATTACATATTATTTACCTCCGGATTTATCACCCAAGTGAATCATGAGGTATACGTATATACATTGATACTTTTGTTTTGTTGTTCTCCCTTTATCGTACTCCCTTTGTTACAATTTTGATAACTTAAGCTAACACTATAAAATTTACCCATAAGCACGCATTACTTGACATAAAACACTCTAACAAAAGATAGTTTATATTTTACAATTGAAGAATAATAAAAGTTGCATCTAAAGTTGAAGTAAATGGTCAGCCATTTTGTGTGGATTTACCTGTTCGCTGCTCATGGAACATGTGTAGACAATGAACACCAATGTATGATCAACTTTGGGCGACACTGACGTCAGGGTTTATTGTAACATGGGATTTTTACCAATAATACGATACAAACCTCGCAAATGGAAATCGAATTACCATATTGGATGTTCGTTTACAGTTTTGACAAGTCCTAATTGAGTTTATGTCACTGAATTATACATTCAACAAATTCAATTTACTCTCGTTCATATTTACATGTTAACTCATGGAATGTAAATGCAGATCTTTTAATGGTTCATTTTTGGCTAGTAATTTAATCATTCATAATACATAATCACAGACGTAAAACTGGAGTATTGTTGAAATCGTTGAATTAATCCTTTATTTGTTTGTTTACAATTTTCAATATCTGAAACTTTGGAGAGTCGGTAGTGCACAACGATGTAAATAACTACTTGGTGATATAACAACTGAGTTATTTATATCGTTGGTAGTGCACAGACTGCAAATTTAGTCCTATATTACTAAAGATAAGTTATTGAGTTTGATTAAACTCGTACGTGGTAATATAGTAAAAAAAACTATATAAAAGCGCCACTTTTATTATTATTATTTAGCACGTTGGTTTTTGCTGTGCATTTTTATAGTTTAGGCTTGATTTGTTGTTATTTTGTTCTAAAATGTTTATTCATGGTTTTGTCCATAAATTATTTATGATTCATGTTTAATAGTCCATAAGTCAATAGCCTACCATACCGTACCTGACTCACATTATAATTTCTTATTTTATGTAGCTATGTATTACAAAGTTGACAAGATCTATTGTATTTGTACTCTTTTTTGTATGTGAATTATTAAATGGCTAATGAAAACCCAGTGTAAAAACAACAATGGAATGTATTTGATTTTGTTACCTAGCCAAGAGAATATATCAGAATTATTTTCAAATATTTGAGTACTGTTGAATAATATTTTGAATTTTCAAGGAGAAGGTAGTAAAATGGTTTGTTGGTAGGTGGGTTGTACAGAACAAGTTCTATTCCTAAAATATATAAATAAACGCTTACCAAAGGTGAGGAGAATATAAATTTATTATTATAAATATCATCACCTCTTTATTAGTTTTGAGTTGGTTGTAATTGACAACTGCATAACTCAAATTCATTATAAGGTTAGTTTTGATCACTATACCTTTTTTTTAATATCGGTGTTTTCATCAAAAGACTTTTTATTTTAACTAGATTTTCGAACATATTTGTATCAAAGTTTACCGTAGGTGAAGATCATATAGATGAACACATACTTTTTTGTTAGTATACGTTTATACTGAAATATTTGTGCAACTAAATTTAAATACATACCTTGTATCACAAACATCATGATGAAAACGTGTTTCATTGTAGTAAAATCCAATCCACCGTACATAAATAATCCTCTTGTAACGCAAAAAAATTGTCTTTTAGTCTACTTTAATAAACGCATCCCGACCGTAAACTTTTACCACAAATTTATTTTCATCAAGACATAAACGGTGGACTCAATTTTTATCTAAAAATATTTTTGGCTTTTGAAAATAACTGTCACATCAAAAAATTGCTACTCGAAAATCGTCCCCGGAACTTCCAAAATGGTTTACGCTTTGTATCAAGGTATTTTCAGCTCGAAATTCCGACTCAAACTGAGATGCAGCTTCACCGGTAGTATCCTCCCAACCCCCTTCTATCCCCTTCACAACCCCCTTCTATCCCTTTCGAATTCTCCCTCCTCTCTCTCTACCGCTAAATCCTTCTACTGCTCCATTATGCGCTTAATGCACCAATAGAGCTGATAGGATTAAAATACATCTTGATTATCAATTCTTGTAACTTTATTTCGCAATATTCTCTCAATTGTTCGTTTTTGATTGGCTATTCACTTGTGATTTTCAATAATTCTGTTATTCTGTAGCATCAATTGTTTGAATTCACTGCTAATTTTTTTTTTTGCTGACTGGTTGAAATAGTGATTAAGGTTTAAGAGCTTTTAAAGAATGATAACTATATATGGTACATATTTAAGGTTAATGTAATGGCTACTAGACATTAAAAAAATTACAACCTAATCTCTATAAACTTAAAAACTTAAAGTTATTACTTCAACACAAAAATCCGTAAAGTGGTTGATTCTGAATCGTGAAATTAAAAAAAAACCCCTGTCACGTTTTAATATATAAGAAGATAACACCTTAGTTATAGATTTCACATCTCTCGGTGATGTTCGAGGTATTTCATCCCAGTAAAAACATTACTTTTGAAAGCACTTTAAGAAATTAAAGGGAATTTTTTTAAGTTAAAACATTTTGTAAACTCAAACAACCTCGAGGTATTACAGTTTTGATATTTACTTAGAAAATAGTTGCGAGGAACTCTGCGCTGATATGAATTCCACAGAGAGAAGGAATGCCTTTGATCCTAGACATAAATACTTCTCAAGAACCTGGTAAATACTTTGGAGAATTTTGTTTCGAAAACTGTGTTTTTACAAGTATTAAACATTTCAAAAACTTAGAATCATCCCCTTAGTTTAAAGTTCTTTCTTGATTTGCAAACAAAATTGTTTTATCTGCGAATAGGTAATTGTGGTGTTAGAAAATATGTTAAGAGCAATCATAGCCTTACAGAAAAATAAATAAATTTTTCGTGATTGTTTAAAACCAACAATTATTTTAGCTCGCAATTGGCACATTAAAAATCTATTAATTTGACTGTCTAATGAAATGAAAACCTTGGGTTTTATACAAATAGCCTTTACTGGTGGTTGAAAATGTTGTATCGAGTCATTTTAGGCGAGAAATTGTAAACTCAGTTACATTGGCGTGACCAGAAAGCTTTATATTTCGAATGAAGTCTGTTTCACGCAACCTTCCATATAAAAACCTCCTAAATCACACAGTACAACATAAACGTTTACTTAACAATGTAAATACTAGTGATTCTTAACTGATTTGAAATATTTTTAATTTCCTCCTTTATTGTTCAATTTACTACAAAGTCGGTAAAATACCTTCCATGCGAGTTTCCATGATTTTTTTATGGAATAACTTATCTCATATTAACTAAAGGTAAATTGCAGGTTTATTTGTGTGATTTTGTTATTTCATTCCATAAAAGGGTTCACTATATTCCGGCCATATTTTTTTAACTCCTCCACAGTCAACTACAAAATGTATGAGGCGCGTAAGGTTTGAATTAAGCGTACTCATATGCAAACTTTGTAGATTTACCGTATAAGTTTACTTGCATACTAACCAGTTTTATCCCTGAGTTAGATCGCAACAAACATCGTCACCAGACTAATTTATCAACAAGAGCTTAACTAATGACAACCTTAAGTTATTCGTTTTCGAAATAGTAATATTATTAAATAGACATTGCCTTAAGGTAAGACGGGCGTCCCTATCTCGCCCATGTTAAATTCATATATTTTAGGTAAACATAACTTTTACAAATATTAACATATGTAGCTGATTTTTTCTGGGCTTATTCTAGCCATAGTAAAGAGCAACAATAGGAACCAAAAGTAAATTTGGTTGAGTAATAAAATGTTTATGGATTATTGTTGTTTATTGATTTGTTTACATTTTTTACTACACATAAAAAGCCATATAAAAAAGACTTTTTGAACAACACAAAAACTGGTTCCTATTTCTATAGAAAACATTACAAGGAACAAGTAAACAAAAAGATTGTTCGAATTGGTTCATAAATATTGCCAAAAAGTGTACCGAAGTGTTAAAAACCTCAACTTTCGGAAAATGGCGAGAAAATAAAAAAGACGATTTATGAATATTGACAAAACGGAGTTTGTAAAGATTCAGAAAAACTCTTATAAAACATAGATGTATTATTATTTTTATATTGTTTTTGGTATCTATGGAAACAAAAAAACAGGTCTACCAAAATAAACAATGAAAAAAAATTTTGTAAAAAAAAACATTTTGACGCCTGTCTTACCTTAAGTGTTATTAAAATTAGTTACGGTATCTGTCTTGATGTATTTCCATTACAGAAATACCGCATCCAATGTTTTTATGCTAAAAATCTGCAGAACAATAATTTTCGTAAGAAAGATTTTCTAAAAAGAATTTTCCATTTTGATTTTGAACTACATTTTTATACCATTTTTTATAGCGATTGGGGTATATTAAGTGTTCCCTACAAAAACTTTAGGTATAAAATCTTATACATCTCAATATATTTCATTTTTAAAATAACATATTGTATTCTATACCCTCAGTCCCTCAACCAACTAATTATAAAAATAGTTAATTTGTACAGCTAAGTTTAGATAGACTTATATTAGGGAGAAATGTACTATTTCTTATGGAAACTACGATTATTTACTGGAATTGCTGCTTTATCAACAGGTTTCTATAAAATAAATTTAATGTAAAAGCATTTTAAACTTTGTACAAAAACCGGTTTAAACCACATAATGTTCTTTTAGTAATGATAATTATATTGAATCTAAAAGGAATTTTACACGTTGCTTATTTTATGTTCGCAGTAGTTTCGACTCTGCTCTGTATTGGATTCCCTTTGAACTTTCATTTAGTTTTCAATTCAGTGTCTTGCATGATAGCTTCCAATAAGTAAAGGGGAATTCAATTTAGATATGAGTCAAACAAACCGGTTCGATTCAGTCTATAATATTAATCTAAAAACAATTTCCATCTAGAACAATAGAGTTTAGAGTTTTAAGCTCTGTAATTGTTGAAGTTGATGAAAAACGGAAAATCTGTTATGGCTAGAACCATAATCTTCTACACAGCCACATTTAGTTTAATATTGGGCATATTTTACTTTCACCATTGACTTGGGATTATGTGCAGCAAAATTTCGATACACAGTGTATTGATGCAAAGATGATGACGTAATCTCTTTTATTTTGTGATAAATAATAGCACGTATAATTTATTAAATTTGTATAAATTAAATGATACCACGTGACACAAACTACAGTATTTACATGTACTCTAACATGTCTCATAACTTGCCGTATTTTCTCTTTTCTTTTACTCAATTGAAACTTATTGTCCATAAGAATATCATGGGGAATATGATAATATTTAATTTTATAATAATTTACTATTTTTGTGGTGTTTTTCTAACTAATAAACCTAACCGTACAAAAACACTGCAATATACTAAATTATTTTTTTAAGCTCTTCAAAATGCTCTAGAGAGAAATAAAGACATTTTATATTTTGAGGGTCAAAATCAAGAAAACCCAATTTTTCTCCATAAATTCCCCCATGAAACCCCGTTTCCATGGTTCACGTAGTTTTTCACGTTTGTACTAAATTTCATAGAAATCGGATCATTTTTGCTCGATTTATCGTGCTAACGGACACACACAACTATAGAATTTGAACGGATGGTGTTTTTGGCCTCTGGGGACATCAAAACGAACAAGTAAATCGGTCCCGGGTCCTATTCCCTATATGGGAAATTTGCTAAAAGTATAATTATACTTTTTTAATTGTATTCTAGAATTAGGCGTTATTGTAGGTACCAAATCTCCAGTGAATCCTTTTTAAAACAAAAGCAATTTTTCACTTAAATTATGCCAATGGAACTATAAAAAAATATTGTCGATTTAAACTAATCATATTATAAAAATTACGATTTACATAACAAGCTTCGTTCAGAGACTGAAAACATCAAATCTTGTTAGTTTAGGCGAGAAACAGTAAACTCCCTTTCCTATACGTGACTTGGAAATGAATTCTTTCAAATCGAATTTCGTTTCATTTACGTGACTTACTGTTTTGCAATCACAAATTGGTTACGTGACTTTGAGTTTTGTTCACAGAATAGATTCGATTTGCTAATTGAAAGTTTTACATTGAGATGTACTGAAATTTACAGTTTAATACATATTACTTACTATACTATAAAAGTCTAAAGAGGAAAAATTGTCTGCTTTTAATAATGTAATAAGCCTTATTAAGTAAAGTTTTAATTACATTATGAACTTAGTGTAACACCGTGAAGGTAAATTATACAAATACTTCACAACAACGAACTGAACTGTTCTAAAGTCAGTAACACTTGCTAAGTTCACCTAAGTACTTCAACTCGACGGAGCTCAAAGACTTTTAAGGTTATTACCTTTCTAAAGAATGTTGGTTACATTTTATCACCAAGCAATTATAATATAATACGTTTTCCTTGTCAAAGATTATAATTTATGATAAATTATACACATACACATGATACTTAACAGTTACTGGAGAAAGGTTAATGAAGTTCAGTTTTATTGAAAGGGTATTCTTTGCTGTGCGGTAAATTAACCATACGAGTAAAATAATGCAAACACGTTTGAAACTGTTAAATATCTCACTATTTTTTTTATTTCTTTATTTATCCGCCAAACCCATCTCTACACTATTTTGGAATAATTCCTCTCAATCTTGACTGTTGTGGCTTAACAATAAATTTCACTGTCCAATCAGCATTTTTATTATTATTATTTTTTTTTCAAAAGGCTTAGGGCCTATGCAGTTTTATTTTATGAAACTAGGAGTTTCTATTTTCTGGAAAAGAGTAAGAACAATTATATATCTAAGAGGTTGATCATTAATGTGTGAAAGAAACAGGTTGTTATAAA